TCTGTGGGAGCCGTCATCGGCAGAGTCGCAGCAATGCAGACATTGTTAATCTAAGATCAAAGCTTGTTTTGATAGGACGCTAGCTTCAACTTCCTTCGCTTGCTGTGTAAATATTTTGAGTTTTTCACCAGTCGGCCTCAGAATCGTCGAGTCGAGAGGAGCGATCGGGGAGCGATCAAAACCATTTTTGTCGATGGTACTGTAGTGGCAATATATTTTCCATGGGCATGCATCCAACGTCTCTTAGCCAGTGGTGAGCGCCGAGCGGTTCCGGACACTTTGCGTCCGAGTTCGTTGCGATTTTCTCGAAAATCGGAGGGGCCCCAAAGTCGGAACAAAGCGTTCCGTGCGGAATACCACCACTCCTTGTCGACTAAGGAATCCCGGAAGCTCTCGATCCGAATATGTACCCCATCGCGAGAGAGTCGCGCATGCAAGCGAATACGGCGAGCCGCGAAAGGGCACGATTCCAACGATAATATCGTCAATCATCATGAATCATAAAGCGCTCTCCCCGAGGGACAGCTCGACCTGAATGCCCTCGATGAATGGCGAGCGAAATCCAGGGTTTGATACCCCATCCTTCTCGATTCTGGGATGAGCTCCGCCTGCAGAATGAACCCAAAACGGGATTCCACGCTGGAACGGATTTCTCGCGTCGAGACCACGTGCATTCCGAGACTACATTCCAATAAGCGGTTATTGGAATGAGATGAAGGAGAGCTGCACGGACGAACAAATGAAAATGAAGTCGAGAATTGTGGGAGCGGTTCCACTGTAGGCGAAGAAAAATATATATGAGGTCGTCGACGACGGAGCGGAGCCGACGATGTTGCTAAGGCTAGATGCTTGGCGAACAAACGAATCATGCGACGGACGGCGGCGGCGCAAGAGAAAGCCAAGATTTTAAAGCAGCTGTTTTTTCGAAGGCGGCCGCGCACAAGCACACTTCTACGCCGAACGACACAGTCTCAGCAACGGGAGAAAAAGACGCACAGTCGAAATCCGTTGGCGTGGTCGTGTCGATCAAATCCAATGGCGACCAACATCGGACATAATGAATACAGGCAGAAGTCGAAGGAGGATACAGCCTTCGACTACGGCCTTTATTCGGACCTGTTCTGTAGTCCAAGGATTTCGGGCGACATTCGCCTCCAAGTTCCCGTACAGACTTGAAATTCCCGTCAGATACCGGGACTGAGTAACGAGTCGCCTAATGAAAGTTCGATCTCGCTCGTAGAGCCCCGTCGTTCGTACGGTACAGATAAGCGTAAATACTCTTGTGCATACCCGTCCTGCATGCATGCATGGGTAAATGGAGAGCCCGCAGATCGTCGACCAGCCGGCGCTTTCTCTCGTGCGGCAATTTATGCGGATCCATTAAAACCCTGGCGCATGTTTCCGCCTGGTTACGATTCGCTTATCCAGAATGTATCCCGTCGGAGGCGGTCGATATTTTCGAGTTTTGGAGCTCTAGCGATCCACAACATTATTCAGATTTTTCAAGGCTCTGGACGGGATGGATGGCCATAGAGTCATGGCGGTAGCTCTAGAATTTTCTTTCCTGGCATGAATCAATACGTTCCTAGCGGTCGCTGCCTATTCTATCCTAGCTATAGGTCGTTGTAGATGACTAAGTGTATTGTGTTTGGCTTCGCAGTAGACATTGTGATGACGACTATGCTGGCGTTATAGGACGAACGAAGGAAAAAATTCGATTGTTCTAAAAGTGCTTCTCGTTCCTTCGTCATTGCTGCTGTCGCGGCAAAGGCTCTGTTGGGACTTCTCATTATGACTGACGCTTTTTTGTTATCCGATGTCTTTGTTGCGAATCCGGGGAAGTCGCAAATTATGTCTAGGATTTGAGCCACCGTCCTCCTCGATCGCTCTCGATCGGACCAGAAGATCGGGAGAAGAATTATTCGATTGAGAACGAATCGCATCCTTCTATTTTATTCTGTCCTGTCTCATCGGTTACGGCCGCCATACGTTCTGCGGCGTGCCTGCGATCGGTTGAGTTTGTTTATGAAAGAAGGTCGTCGTCGTCATCATCATCATCGTTTCTTGTGCTACGGTTCGTTCTCGTTGCCTTCAGCCGTCGACTGTGTTTTGGATAGCAGCGTTCGAGAAGCAATTTTTGTGGCCTTTGCGCCAGCTAGCCTAGCGGCTAAGTCCGTCGCAGCATCTTGGCGCCTGGCCCCGCCTGTGTAGACTTCCTGAATGCGGTCTCGCTGGAGACTTTCTCACACTTTTTCCGCGGAATCTCTCCTACACTAACTCGTTCCTTTGCTTCTTCCGTCCATATTTCCTCTCTCTGCTCGATCCTCGTAACGAGAATACGCAGACTCCACGTCTCAAACATGGTTGGGAATACCGACGACCAATTACGGTTTCATTCATCGCTTCAGCGAGTCCACTGAAGGAGAGGTCTTGAGCCGCCGCCTTAAAGTTCAACAGACGTTAGACAACGACAACCTCCCAATCGCGAATTTCGAACCAGAACTATAACTATACGCCAAGGCCCTGGAGCCAGCACAACTCTGATGGCTAATTTTCTCTGATCAGTATTGCATGTCAAAGCTCTGCGAAATTATCTCTGATTCTCTCTATTATAGAGTCGTAAATGCTGTAGATTTAGCCGGGATCCGTGTCCTCCCGAATACACCATGAGTTTCGTCTATGAATTGTGCAAATAATAATCAGTCGACTCTGGTCTTTTTCGGAGATCCGAGCTCTGTAGCCAACGACAATCGACGGGAGTTCTGTCACCTGAAGGAATATTGCGGTGCGGGCGGAGGAGAAGAGGGCGAACTATTGGAGATTCTTCTGTTGGAGGGCTCATTCCTCGATGGAGTCATATTCGTCACCTCGTTTCTTCACGGTCAGTGAAATTCCTCCGCCCGCTTCCCTCCCATAAGTGTGACGTTATCCTAGACGGTAAAACCTGATACTGAATTTGTATTTCGAAGGATTTGCGAGCCGCTCTGGGATACAATCACTAGCGAATTACGGTCAGAACCGTCATGCATCGTCACGGTTTCGAAATCATTAGTCATTTTCTCCGTGTTCCCATCGATCCGTTATTGTCCGCGACGAGTTTTTTGTTTTCTCCGTCGTTTTTCTCCCGTAATAGCCAACTCCACTCGAATGTGGAGAGCGATCTGATACCATGTCTACTTGGAAGCACGAGCGGTTACGACTATGTTCAAGTGTAACGAAACAATCTCTTTCTTTCATCGGAACAAACGAGAGCGATCGATCTGTCCATCTACCTACATATCTATCTATCGACTGATTCAGTCGGTGCAGTTATCGTCAGGACTCTTCGTTCGTATTCTTTCGAGCGTATCGAATGAATCTGCTCATGTGCTCCAGCTGTGAGGGAGCATAACTCGATATCAAAATTCTATGGAAGCCGAGAGCTTTTTCTTGATCTGGCCTGTTTTTCGGTCTGACTGAGAGATGAATCGTGGTGGCCACAGAGACGGAGCCTGCGAGATATCGTTTTTCGAAGACTAGAGGACGAGAAAATCACTAATCCGTCCCCCAGCAATCGCGACTCCTTGTGGAAGAAGAGACCGCTGTGCAACATCGTCAAAGCAGCAATTTGACTATTTCGCAACACTTTTTGCCTTGGCTGTCTTGATTCGCACCTCAGCGCTAAATTTCCTGAGACATATCCAGGTTCGAAATTTCCAAAGGAACAGAACGATGTTCTGAAATTCTCTGCCAGAAATCGCTCGTTTCGAGCAGGTACTTTTCGAAATAATTCAATCGACTCCAATCGAACAATCATTTGATGTTTTGTCGGTTTGCTGTTTCACTTGCCAACGAGCTATGCAGTGAGCCAGTCGGCAGTCAATGAGCGATAGAAGTGGTCCACGATCATTAATGGAACTAGCGATCCGAACGGATAAATGTTCGCGACAGTGAGCGTCACTGCAACGCTTCACTACCTGTCGGGACGGGCTGACGCCCTCAAACAAACGGGGAGATTCCCGTATAAGGTTCACCTAGTACACAAGGAATCGCACGTGTAGAGCGATACTCGGCTTGGCTCCGCTCCCACGGGTCGAAATAAGGAGGCGAAGAAAGGAAGGCGAGGAAGCCGACGACCTCAGTCCGTCCAGTCTGAACACGCTTGCGATACGAATCCTCTTCGAGATTCACCAAAATCAATAAGTCGGGTTTTGTTTAGCGAGAAAGAGATTGAGAGCTATCGATGTGCGAATGGAAAATCCCCGAATATATCAGAGAGAGATCGAGGGAGGTCTCGACTGATAACCATCTGAAAAAAAGACCCATATGAATAAATCGATGTGAACTTTCATACGCATCGTCCACATCGCACGCAGCTTTTCTGGCTGGAAGATACAATCTGAGCGTTATCAGTGCGATAACTTGAAGTATGAGTCCGAATTTCGGCTGTACAAATTCGCCCCGCTGCTGAGCAGAGCTCACTTCTACAGCGAGTCACATCGGTGTTGCAAGACTCCCGCGTGATCTCCTCTGGTGAACTCTGTGCATTGATCATCTCGCTTTTTTTCCGGTTTCTCTTCTTCGCTTCGTGTCCTCCTCACGTGAGTCATTCAAGAGTCGGGCTCTAGTGAGGCATAATAATGAAAAAATACCGAGCTCTATCTGAATTTTGTCGGTGAGCTTCGACGCATGTCAATGAATTCATCGCGAAGCCTTGCCTTGCCGAATGCACTCGGTCATCTAGAGGTCGGAATCTATCCCTCGAAAGAGCGCTCTCATATCGCTGCACTCGGAGCCAGGGAATCTCACGGCGACACCTGAGCGTAGTTCCTGCGTCACTTCAACTTTTGCCAACCTGGTTGAACTCATGAGAAGCTCACCTCGCTCGAAGAATCTCGAAAGGTGAACTTAGTCGAGCCTCATTCTTTACAGAGGCGGCTATGAACGCCATTCCCGGAGTGCCACCATTACTCTCTCCCTCGCCGTCGAACCCACCAGCTTCAACAATCGGTCTGACTTCCATGGGGACCCCGGAAGGTCCCTTGGGAAATCAGAAACCCGAACCGCGGGTACTGGGCGGACGGGAGATCACTGACCAAAGAGGTAAGACCCGCATCGTGGGTCCTTTCTACTGCAGCGTGTGTCATAAGCAATTCCCGCACAAGAGCTTGACGGAAATCCACCTCCAATGTCATATGGAGAAAAGGTTGGTGCTTCAGAACTCGTACATCCTCGGTATCGAGGGAGAATTCTCGGCTCAGATGTTTATATGTATGTTATTCGTTGGCAGTCCATGTTCATGGGCTACTCGCGGGGCTCTACCTCGCCGCCTGACAAGCATTGGAGCTTATCGGGGGGTTTTCTCTACTTGATGCAGATTACCGTGTCCTTTTTGTGACAAGATGTTCAAGAACAAATATGTGTTGAAGTACCACGTCGAGGGGGCTCACAATCACACAGTGGGCGAGCCTAGTCCGCAGTTGAGAAGAAGGTTAGAGAAGAGATCTTTGAACACAGTCACGTGTTTCTGTGGAATCAGCTTCGAAACCATGAATAGCTACAATGAGCATATGAGAACGCATCAACACCACGGAGCTGCTCAGGTACAGAACGAGGTGAGTCGGCCGGAACGTGTGCAATAGATACGCGAGCTGGAGGTCGTATGGAGAAGTTGTAGCTCTGCGCGGCTGTTGGAAGTATCTCCTTCGACGTCGAGCTCAAGAAAGGAATGCGTCTTTTCAGCAACGTGTGAAGTACAACCCGTGTCCAATGTGCAAGGAAACCTTCGCTAATCTCTTCCAACTCGTTAAGCACATGGAAATCCACAACAACAATCAAGCTCCACCGTCTCCCGAACTGCCTGTCAAGCGAATTCGTCTGTCGGGAGGCGCGACTTTGCAGATCACCCCCGTACCGGTGTCTCGAACGCCGTCGTCGTCGGACGTCTCGGCTTCTCCCCCTCCGATTTCTTGTCGTAATTCGCCCTTGCGGCAACCGCAACCGATATCTTTGGTCTCCTGTCGGAGTTCACCCTCCGACGACACGTTCCAACGAAAGGCTTCAGTTCCTCCGTCATCGTCATCCTCGCCTCAGAGCCTCTGGGAGTGCGAGATCTGCGACGATGCCTTCAGCCACCTGGCGCTATTACGAGGTCACATGCACAACAAACACCACCTCTACCTTGTCTGTTTAGAATGCCACGAGTTCCTCAACGATGTCAACGGCATGGCGCAGCACATGAGCGAAGTCCATCCCAACGTTTCCGCTCATCCGTGTTCTGTATGCGGCCGGTGTTTTTCGGATGAGGAGGCGGCGAAAAGCCACCTGGATGCCCATAAAAACGGTCTGGCGGACTTCAGCGGATGCTTCCAGTGTTCGTTTTGCGAAGCCTTGTTCGATGCTGAACGTGAGTGTGCTCTTCACGAAGATGCCCACCGTACAGAGGGCTCGGCTATTCTCAGCTAATAATGGAACCTTGCGCTTCTCCCAATGTGCCTCTCTCCCGCGAGCTGAAATTATGCACATGAAGGAACTCGAGCAGCTTTAAATCCCTACAAGGGCATCAACGGAGCTCTGGTCTGGAGCTTTCCGAGGACCACCGAGCAGTTCCTCTTTTTTGTTCCCTGAATTCGACCACTGTCGGCTGCACGCCTCTGGAGCATCGTTCGTGTCCCCTTTTTATCTTTCCATAATTACTTCCCGGAGGTATTTGTAACTAATGAAGATCTCTATATCCTGGTGGGATCCATCGATGTGAACATTATTTGTCCACGGGATCCCAGGAACACTGTTTTGAAACCGGGCTTCGCTCTGGGGATTGTCGACGAAAATTATTCTTGATGATGGCCCTGAATACTGTAAGAGCTCTTTGAGCAGCGACGATTTTTGATGCGTAATATTGACTTTGTTGAGAGAATGATACAACCGCCCACATCGCGGAAGTACATTATAATTGGTGCTATACTATATCTATTGAACGACCCCTGTGTATATCTTTAGCGACTTGTTTCATTATTTATTGGATGAGTGGTAAACCAAGGTTGACTATTGTATTCCCGTTGCGACAGGTCGTTGTGCCGAACGGTGACGCTTGAATCAAAGTATGATAGGAAATATTGTCCTCCGAGCTCTAATCGGAAGCCCGAGCTCGCGAGAGGAAAGTCGGAAATGGAGGAATAGGAGTGCTACATATGAATTGTGACCTGACCAGCTTGCAAGGGATCAGCTCGTTAACAGCTTAGCTATACTTCATCCTAATTATTGAACGGGCTGCAGACCAAATGACACGGCGAAGGGAACACCGATAATCATAACGTGTGATCCACCGGTATACTAATTTATTAGTCTGTACAACGCGCCGCCTCGTCGGGAGATCGGTGAATCTTCGTTGAATTTTAAGGAGAAAACGAAAGCAGGATATCCGTTAAGATTTCTCTGAAATGCGGGTAGACTTTCGGAGGCCAGAAATCAAGGTAACTCTTAGTCACAGACCAAAGGAGAAAGATCGGCCACGTTCGGTCGAGAGCGTAGTCAGTGGATTCTGGTTGAGAATATTCCGAGCAGCGATGTCGATCTTGTACCCCGAGCTTTCTGAACTGAAAAAGCCAAAAATCGTTAGCTTCTACTGTACGGGCATGTTCCCGGAGCCGAATGTAATATATCTATACATATGTAATAGTTCCGGGTGCAGGTGTTTTTCTTGCAACTTCGAATGATGACCGCTTTATTTCGCTGAATTCAAACCATTTCGAGAGGAATCATCCTTGACGACGGAACGGGGAAATGTCTCCTCATGGATCGAACTCCGGCGATGCATAATGTGTAATTATGATCCTAATTGAGGTGTACGAAGCTGGCAATTGTACCGTGACTCTTCTGACGATCATTCTTCGGTGCCTGTCTGTTTTCTTTGTGCTGGATATTCTCCATCGATGAGGAGCTATTGAATATAATGAGCTACTACTGAATCTTCGGTATACAATCCCTTCTGAAGTTCCCTGTCGAAGTATCGACTCCGAGCGGGGACTTCGCAGTCGCTCCCTTGGAAACTCACCTTGCTCTCAGCGACGCCGACGTGAGTATAAGGAGAAGTATGCGTATGCGGAGTCGACTGGGAGCCTACCCCCGCCCCTCGCGCAAGTTCCTCTCGAACTCCTCCATCATTATAGGGTGGAACTCGAGTTTTGTTGACTGGTTCGGAAGTTTCCCCAATATCATTGGCTTGTGGGGAGTAATACGAAACGTCAGATTCTTGTTGTATCGCTCCAGCAGCGTGCGTTTCTCTATGATGTTTATCCAACCGAGGGAGAGGATAGCTTCTGAGGAAACCACGTCGATCGTATAATTTCATCTCCCTCGTGATTTTCGAAAATCATGGGGACGATTCCCAAATTCATGTTCATGTCGAATCAATCAGAGAGGCTTCACATGGATCAGCAGTCTCTCTTAGTCAAGGGATCTACCAGATGAGTGCGGGTGACATTGAGAGTTTTTCTCATGTGATGATCATTTGCGAAAACCTCGACACAATGCGGAAGGAGCGCGCGAGTTTCCTGGGAGCGATTCCTCCATAATGGTGCTGCGACGTTGCCATAGGACTCTTTGTTTTGAAAGTCCGCTAACCAAATACATGAACAGCTTAAGATAATTATCAAGAGATATATTTCCTATATTTTATTGTGGTTTGAGCGGAAAACAATTACACAAAGACAAACACTTCAGGAGTGTGCACTTATCGACATCGAATGAAGATGCAAACCAATAAATAGTCGAGTATTTACCTGTCTCGTCTCCTAAATAAGAGAAGGGTACATATGTATCCGGTATGTACATATAAGAGATCATGAGTTCGCGAACATCCGCCTTCCATATGATGGTGATACGAAATTCGGCTTCCGATCGCCCGTAGTCTTCCCCTAAGAACTCCGAGAATCTGATGGTCGACTCTCAACTACGACACCAGTGAAAATCACCGACGCGAAACAAGTGATCGCATAGGTCGGACCGAGAAATCATAAGCACCCGCGGCCGAGGTACCACATAACCCAGGGAAAACGCTCCGTGGTCACGACCCGCTGAGGGCCGATCGCCGGAGTTCGCTTGCCTCGAAAAACTCTCGACCAGCTCGATCTATTCTGCCGTGATTCTCACCGGAGTCGACGCTCGCGTTGAAGGTGCTCCTGGTCTGCCGAAGCGATGCCTGCGATTTGTCGCGAAAAAGCTTATTCCGGGGGAAATCCCCGCCGAGGCCATTTCGGAGCCCGGCAGCTCGCTTCGGAGTCCTCTTACGAGCCAGTATCCTCTTGAATCCCTGGAAAATCGGTGACGAGCCCGAGACTGTACAAGGACCTTCTTTTGGGAACACAGGTCAAGATTGATGGTCGCGAGGTCATCTGCAAACTCGTTCTAAGCTTCTCCTATGTTCGTCCGCAACGTATTTCTCAAAGGGCATCTTCGGCAGACTTTTCTGAGGTAATGGTCCCTGTAGGAACCGACAAGCAGGTCTCCCGAAGAGGACGTGGTCTCCCGAAAACTGCTCAAGAACCGGATTAGGCTTGGCCCGACAGGACTACAGGCTTCGTCCACGTCGCCAACTTGCCTTCTGGCGATCGCAATTTCTTCCTTCCCACGTCCTTAGCGCTCCCGGCCATCAGATCTGGACGATCTCGTTACGCAGGATTTCCGGAAACCTGAGGAATGAGTAAATGAGACCTGGGTTGTCGTTCGAGCTCAGAAGGATGCGGAGTATCCTGGAGCGAAGCTTGCTCGCTCGGGTTGAAAGCTTCAATGTCTCCCAGAAGAAACCCGGCGCAGACTCGGGAGAGCTCCGCTCAGTAAGTAAGGGCGCACTCTGACTGAGTCCAGAGGGCCCCTAGTGCGAACTCTAAGCAGGCAGAATCATCGGGAGCAGTCAGCGAGAAGTCATCATTCTGCGCGAGAGGAGAGAGGAAAAGGCCTGCCAGGGGCCTTGTTGTGGTAGAGCCGCTATTGCCGCTGCCATTGGTGTGTCAGTGATTCGAGGCGGCTTGCTGCTGGTGCTGCTACCGCGAGAATTGTTCAGTCGCAAGCTTGGTACAACAATTACCAGGGCTCGATTCCGATAGGACGCGAGTTTCACGTCGGCAGCTCCGGCGACGAGTGCTCTCAGAGGAAGCCAATGGCAGCCGAAGCAGAGGAGAAGCCTCGAGGAACCGCGATGAGCGGCTTAGATATCGTGCACCATTGGCTGCACGTAGTTCGAGAATCGTACGATGCAACTCTGAGTGGAGGAGGTAAGCTGGCGGAATGTCAATTCATGGTGCCGACCCACTCGGTTCGTGTCCCTCCGGCAGCCACTTGCCGAAGCCATCCCGATTCTGGGATCGTCAATGACCGGCGCGCAGCTTTGACAGCTCTTTGACTTTCGCGCTACAGGCGAGCGCCAATTCGATGCGCGCATCGTTGACCAGTGCGAATCCCCGGCGAGGGAATTCGGCTTTGATATCGTTTCGACATTATCCGCGTGATTCCGAGTCGCACGTCAAGGCGAGAAGGCGAGACTCGCGCTGACGTGCGCGAGCGAGGCGTTCCCTACCTGGGATCCCTCGGCATGACACGTATTGAGAAATGAGATGCATGGCGGGCGGATGGAGGCCCGAAATTCCTCAGAACGAGGTTTTGAGAATACAAATACCCTCCTGCACTTGATGGGCCCCGTCCATCGGAAATATCTACGGAACGAGCCCGAATAGCCTGCTATCCGTCGCCTCCCAAGTCAAATGGCGTTCCGTTCCTGCGAGAATTTTAATCGTAATATATGATTTCCGATGGATGATCGGCGCTAGCTAAGATGCTGAGGTTATTCGAATTCGCTGGAAGAGCGTCAGGGAACATTGGCGGAAGGCTGGAGGCTCTCGGTCCGGCGCAAGTTTGTTTACACCTCCGGCCGCGGTACGGGAAGTCGTGTAGCGGCTCCCACCTGCAGACGAGGCGACCAAGAACTCTACATTGAACTCATCAGTACACATGCGTCATTCATCGTTCCCTCGACCTCATGCCGGGTGACGGAACCCGATTCTCCGAAGATTCGGAGCGTGTATTATTTTCCGTCAGATACACGATGTGGTTAAGCATGGATCGACATCAGAAGGAACATACCGCGATAGTTTTGAGTGAGGGGAAGGTACGATAATACCAAATCGTTTCCCCGTCTCGGTCCGAGCGAACCGAATAAAGCCGTCCTGGAACATGACCAGAACCGCGAACCGGGCCGCCGGGGTGTACTATTCGCAAGATGGTCCCCGGCTAACAGGCCTCTCCACACTCATTTCCGAGGGATCGAGTAGATTCGGAGGTATTCAGCTACGAGTTGGATTTCGCCGCTTTTCATGGGTAATCGATCCTAGCCGAGTTCTTTGAGTCGATAGCCTCAATACTTCTCCCGACTCTGGGCCGAACGGGACAGTCGGATAGAAGGAAGAGAACGCAATGACGGTAAATGATGACGATGATGATGCAGCAGGAATGCCCTATTGAACCCTCTTCCGAGCGGAGTTGCGCCTGTCCCGCTGACGATTCAGGCGAACCGCTCGAATAGGAGTTGGTATCACGCAGTGTTTTCGCCTCCTCTCAAACGCCGCCTTCCTTAACGACTTGTCCATCCACGTGTTTTGTTGAGATCCTCGCGGGCTTGCTTTGGACTTGTGATCTTGACGTTCAGAGGTCAAGAATGCTCGAGCATTGCATGACGTAAAATGACATGGATACTTAGCTCTAGATCAATCGGCGCTCGGGGAAGAGACGTGATCAGGTGTCGACCTCAGTGCTCCGCGAGAACAAAGAAGCAAGCATCGGAGGGAGACTCTGGCGATTTCCCCTGTCCCACGGGTCGCGGTGCACCGCTGTCTCATTCGACATCCCACCGAACTCGGTCCATCATGAATGCGCTCATCGAAAGACCGGTCTGATTAAGTTTACATGAGCGAATCCACCCCTTTGTCCATCCACCAGATATGCGCATAAAAAGAAATCCCTATTCATGTAGGAAGCAGCCACTCGATCGGAATTGGCGAGAATTCGTGAGTCAGATGCCGGACGGTTCGTCATCGATATACTTTGACTCATCGAAACTGTGGCTAGCAAGAGTGTCATGGGAGCGACCACACGCCATCACGGTTCGCCGCCCGGAAGCTCTATTTCTTCAATGTACAGAGCTCATGCAAGGGTCTGATGACAATTCAAAAATAACTCCGGCTGACGGGGGGGGGGGGTTCCGGAAGCGCTCAGACGGCTACATGGACGTGATTGTTCTCACTTTGCTTCTTATCCGTCCGGCTCCTTGTATGATCGAGGGAAGCTGCCTCGCTTTCAGATAAGGTGGAGATTCATTCGTACCGATCGAGCTTCGACCGGGGCTCTCATTTTACCAGGGTCTAACATTTCGCCCAAGGGATGCGGGCTCGCCTCCGATGGCTCAGCACTGGAGTTTGATGTACGCTTCCTCGTTCGGCTCACATCTGCTTGGGAAGAAGGGGAGCCCGCAGGGTTTCAGCTGATCTGAAACAGTTTGAGCGCGAGCTGGGGTGGGGAGAATCGGGTGGAGTCGGAGCTATGTTCCCGACGTCGGCTTGCTGGATGGTACGTCGCCAGACCGCTTGGAGCCAGCAGGACTCTCACAGACGCTTCGGGCTGCCCGGGTAATGGGCCTCTGCGTCTCCTTCCCCGATGACACGCCCGTCCCTCTCCATGCTGATAATGATCATGATGATGAATTATTCGGATCTTTGCGCGATAACCTCCGAGATCGGTAAAGGCTCGATCCGGGTTCCGTACCGGTCCTCAGGCGCGGCGTTAGAAAAACGCGTGGGAGGACTTCAGCGAATCACGATTCGTCTGAGGGACGTTCCTTAGCGAAACGCGTAGAACTATTCCCTGGCTGCACGGCTTCCTTCAGCTCTATGGGTCGCCCTTGACTAAGCAGATGTTTTTTCATTCCAGACTATCGTACTTCCTCATGGCCGCTCATGGACTCACCGCTCCCAACCTTGGCCATTTGTCTCTCTTACGCATACTTCGTGAAGGTTCGTCGGCGTCGGAGCAAGGGACCCGAGCTTGCCGTTCTCGGGCGCCTTCGTTGAAGCTGTTTGCCCCGGAATCAGCTCAGGAACAATCACATGTTTTTTATTCTAGGTTTTAGGACCTCGGTTAATGGAAGGCCGCGAGCCGTTGAACATCCGATGGCTGATGGTCGCTTATAACTTCTTCATGGTTATCGTTTCGGCCTTGATTTTCGGCCTGCTCGGAATCTACGGCTGGTTCGGGACCTACAATTGGTACTGCCAACCTGTTGACTACAGCGATTCGAAGGAAGCCGTTCTGGTGAGTGCTTTCACCCCAGATCAGTCTCGTCTCGCCTGATCATTCATCTGTAGACAGCAACGTTGACCGGAGAATTCCAGAATCGACACATAGGAGTCCGTCAGTCCATTGATCTGGTTTTAGGAGGTGAATTCACACTCAGGGCTTCGAATTCCAGATGACTCATCTCGCCTGGTGGTACTACATCTCCAAATTCGTGGAGTTCGCTGACACGTTATTCTTCGTGGCTCGGAAAAAGTTCTCGCACATCTCAACCCTACACGTCATTCATCATGGAATGATGCCCATGTCTGTCTGGTGGGGAGTGAAGTTCACGCCCGGAGGACACTCAACGTTCTTTGCTTTCGTCAACTCGCTGGTGCATGTTCTCATGTATTTCTACTACGGTTTGGCAGCTATCGGACCGCACATGCAAAAGTACCTCTGGTGGAAACAGTATATGACTTCGTTCCAAATGGTGCAGTTCATCGCTATTTTCGTGCACTCGTTCCAACTTCTGTTCCGTCCCGATTGCGACTACCCGCACGGCTTCATGTGGTGGATCGGTTTCCACGCAGTGATGTTCTGGTGTCTCTTCGCCGATTTCTACCGGAACGCTTACTTCAACAAGAAGCTTGCCGCGTCGACGTCCGTGGGGAACGGGGCGAGTGGAAACGGCAAGCAACATAATCATGCCAACGGCAACGGAACGAAGAATAAGGGAGCGCCGAACGGGTACTGTCACCTCAACGGACTCCACGACGATGTCGACGAGACGAAGCCTGTCCTCAGTAGCAATGGCACGCAGAACAGCAAGATGGCGGTCACGAATGGAGGACCTAAGACGAGAGCCCGAGTCAAGAAAGTGGAGTGAGAGATTGACGAGCTATCCGTGGAAGAAGAGGCTTTCTCGGTTATCACTCGTCGGATCGTCGTGCACTGCGACGAGGCTGGTCCTCGTTGCTCTCTTACCGACAGAACGGATGTAACTGTAACTTTTTAAGTGAAATATTGATCAATCGCTGAAACTTGGTGATGGCGCGACGGATTGATAAGAAATGACTGCGGCTAGGTGGCTGATTGGTTTATATATACATAGATTGATTGAATGACCGATTGATCGACTACCTTGCTTATACCTATCAAAGAATTATCCGAGCATAGAGAGTGATATGAGAAGTATTCCGCCTCCGATCAGTTAGCGAGTCATTTTATTATTATCATTAATATTAACTGACTCACCAGTATATTTAGCTTCGATCTTCGCCCGCCACTTGAACGTTATGAATAGTTAGAGGATTTCCAAGGGACCACTTGAGTTGAAGCTGTTTTTATCATGCGCAGGACTTTGAACTGTGTAAGCAGAACTGTGAGGGCAGGGGAATATTTCCGGTCCTCCTCTGAATCCTTCTGGAACGCTGATGCTGCCAGGCTCTAGTCAAACGGCACCAAAGAACCGACGAGGCGAGCTTTCTCACTGGACCGATTTATTCGTTCGAGGAATTGAATTTCGAATCCGAAGAAACCGCTATGATCGCCCGAAGTACGTCATCTATGGAGTGTTGATACTACGATTCTAGTCGACCAATCCTCCCTTGTGAATAGGGAGCAGTCGCGGAAGAGGGGAAAATGTAGGAATCAATCACCCTTGTCCATATGAATAAAGAAAACCGCAACTCGATCATTATTCAATGTTTGGAAGAATTCAATCTTGTTCAGGCTCGTAGCTCAAATTGCGATCTCTCATTGCCCTAGAATGGGCATCATCGAGCTTTCAGGAAAACTACAGAATTCCGACTTTTCCTCCTTGAACGATACCTCCCTCGCCGATCGGAGTCACCGCGGAAGTGGAAAGCAAGCCCCTCCGCTGGAGATCTCCGCGGGAAAAGTGCCGCGAGCTCGGACTCAGTATCCCGCGATATCGTAACGATGGCCATGCTTTTCGATGCGAAGGATCGGAAACTCGAGTCACTCAATCGAAAAACTCCCTCATTTTATTGCTTTAAATTAAACTCACTCAACGAGTGGCACCAAGCTCGATGCGATTTCATGAATCGCACATTTCTGTGACGAGCAATATGAATATCCATACCCGATAAATACCATGTGTCATTGAGTGATGGTGGAACCTGACTTCCCTTTGGCATGAACGCCGGATCGATCCCATGAGGCTCCTTGAGAGCATACACAGTGAGTGATTGAACAACTAAGACTACCATAATGATGATGGCTCGGTCGGAATCATTCAAGTCATTGCAACGCCACCGTATTCACATTGTCTGGCTGTGTATTCACATGGCTATTTTACAGAATTCTTCCCACTCCACGGAGCTCTGTCGCTCCATCGCAAACAATCGACCCAAGTGAGAGCTCAGTGAACAGATATAGGGCTGATAGAAGTCGAGAATAATCGGGGAAAGTGCTTTTCCGACGAACTTCGTAACGCACAAAAATCAAATGATAGTGGAGTTGGTGATAACGAGGCTCTTCAGCGGATGGATCCGAGCGCAACGTCAACTCGAGCTTTGATTCACTCATTGCATCATTATCTGTCGCTCGTGCGTTTCTCTAGCATACCAACGGCCACAAACTCCGAAAATGATAAGCTTGAGGTCTCAGACAGCCCAGCGCCAACACGCTCCGTAACCAGTCATACACATTCAAAACAACAGCAGCAAATCACTGAGACACACCGCTGCGCCGAGTCTCAGTTTTGGAAGCTCATCTCACGGTGCCGAATTCGAATCCGTCGGCGCTGATTGATTTGGAACTCATTGGAATACTGTAATTTTCTTCCTAACGTGCTGTCGGCAGATGGGACAATGGGGTTTGTCTTCGAGGGCTTGAGTGAGACAGGGATCGCAGAATGAGAAATGTCGACACGGCATAATTAACACAGAGCGCATTCGGTCGGCGCAAATCACGCACAGCCGTGACTCCTTCTCTTGTCGAAGTTTTTGAAGTTCCTGCTCCAATCTCGAGTTTACACGGGCTCCTGGTCCTGTGAAGGTTCGAGGAGTTAATATTCCGCAATCGATCTCCAGCGACTGCGGTAGATCAAGATTCTCTACTAATGAGGTATTCGAGGCTGAGGTCCACTCACCTTTCTTCCTCTGTCGCAGGTTGTAAGGCGAGGGCGAGTCGAAGGACGAGCCGGATGACTCGTCCGCGTCGTTGTCCCGCACCCTGTTATCGCCATACCCCAACGCGTTCCATGAAAGCCTCGCGCTCCCGTCGCGTAAGGCCGAAAGCATGTTCAGACTGAGTTGATAGACTTTGTGCAGGAGGAAAACTCTATTCAAGTAAAGGAGCCGGAGAGCATAATGGCTTGCCTGTAAGAAATGTCCGATGCTTTAAGTTTATCTTCTACACGTCTACATCTTCGATCCAACGAAAGTTCCTGGATAGCATCACAATAATTGTACGAAGCCCAAAACTCACAAAAACAATGAAGAGCAGCAAGCCTAGACCGAGGTAGGCTTCGCCGGGCAAACCTTTCACTAAATAACGCACGTTCTGAGCTTGTTGTGCAAAGCCATCGTACAGAGTGACCACCGCGTCGACCGTCAGGTCTGCGATTTGTGAGCACCAGTTCGATACAGAGCGGGCTCCCCGCTTGAAAGCCTCCGCAAGACTGAGGGGAAGAGTTTGAACCAGAAGGATGAAGCTCTTACCTCCGACCTAGGGGAAAGAAATCGCTTAGACTTGATCGTGATAAGAGAATCTTCTCTTGCTTGACCTTCCGATCATTCTCCTAGGATCGCTCTATATGTCGCTCAAATGGAAGGAAACCTCAACTCCGAAATTCGAAAGCTAACCTGCAAAAGGTATTTGCCCGCATCAAGTACACTGCTGAGAGTGACGTACACGGAGCTGCCCACCCCGATGACTACAGCAACGAATGATGCCAAGGCCGAGAGGAACGCGTAGAAGATGTTGTGGATGAATTGCGCCACGAGATTGGCCAGAACGTCGAACCCGAGCACAACCGACGAGAGCCCATTGCCGACGTCTTCAACGAATTGACCGAAATCAAAGAGCGCCACTCGGATCAGCGCCAGCAAGGCTCGGGTACCGGTTGAAACGTGACCTACGGAGAGGAATTATCTTCGTCACAATTCATCAATTCCCATATAGACAGTTCGATTTCTATCAGCTCTGATGAATAATGCCCCACTCACCAAATGCCCATGAGAGTAAGGTGAACAGCGCTTCGCCTAGGAAATAGTTGACCCTTATCGTGTACCCAACGAGATCAGCGAAGAAATTGATTCCCGCATTCAAGCGTGCTATTACAGTTGCCATCCCGAAAGACACCCTGACCTGGAGAAGGGAATATTTTTCAGACCTGGCGCACGACAATATTGTCGAGAACGGTCTCGCTCTCTTGTGACATCGCGATCAGAGTGCTGAAGACGAGTGCAGCGCTCTCCACTCCAAACCCCGGTTTTACGGGTGCTCCTCCGACTCTCTCAGTTGAATGAATCCCCAGACGAGTGCCAATTACGGTTGACCCATTAGTGAGCTGTCTCGAACAACTCCCTGATCGCCAGATCATCCTCTAGATTCGAAATACTTGGAAGAATCCTTCCCCTGTTCTCTCTCAATGGATCACCTCACGGATCGAGCAAGTCCGTGAGTAGAACAATGATGGGAGCTCTCCCTCGATATCGCTTCCGTGGTTCCATTGTACAAGAATCAGCAAGGGGAACTCCGAATCCAGGGAAATATTCACTCACAATGCATGGTCAGTCCCTATACTGACTTGTTAGGACATGGGAGGGTCTTATTGACCATCACCGATCACTTCTTGGGCGAACTCGATTCGAAAAGTCTTCAACCATCGTGCGGGGGTGGATTTTATGTGTGTCAGAACCAAAAAGAGGGAGCGACGCCGCTTGAACCGGTCTCCCAAGACCAGCAGATTCCGATCTGAGCGAATGCTCCACTCAAGTTATCATCGTGGATACTCTCCGCGGGATTTGGCATGGTTCGCCCACTGATTCCAATTGATTCCGGCTCAGGTCGGAATCTGAGCGAAGGCTGACACCCTCGTCGACGGCCCAGACTCGCTCAATCGTTGGCGAGATTCATTAGTCCACCGCTCGTGCTCGCTCCGCAGAACCACGCCGCAAGTCACTCCAGAAGAGACTCGAACCATATGGGTTCGAGGAGCAGATTCGAGAGCCAGAGTTCTCCGGAACAGAGCAATGTTCCCCCCAGCCTACAACAAGTTTCAGTCGAAGTTTAAGCCTCCCTACTCACCGCAGTATACTTCGATGAGGGTTCCGTTCACATCGGGAACCAGTATTTCTAGAAGCTCAACTCCGGAAAAGGATTCGGAAGTCTCCCGTTAGCTTCATGGGGGACGATCTCCTCTCTTATGGTCTATGCGCGTCGAATGGCTCCACTCCGATGATCGTCCACGGCGTCTTCATCGTGCACGAAGCAACATCCCGTTGTCAGTACGCGTTTCTTTTCTCTAGCGCTTGGAATCGCACACGGTGTCTATTATGATGCTATTTAGAAGAGAGGAAGCGCAGCAGGACGACGAATCCTATTCCCTTTCATCCGATCGAAAGTAAACAACGATTCTCCTGCTGACTTGGCCGCAGTGCTGGAGAGGGTAACTCGTTCATTGACTCTTAGAGCGCCGAATTCAAAATTCGAGTGTACTGACTTGTCGATATGGCCCGCGTCCGCGCCCCACATCTGAACGAAGTTTGGACTGATTTCTTGATACTATGGACGAATCTACGAGAATATTGTCGGAGGAATATCGCCTGGATCGCAGCGCGACCTGTGAAATCGATCTCCTGTCGACTCATACCTCTTCCTCGGGGGAAGGGGGGCGGAGGAATCGGAAAGTCGCCGCAACGAGCGGAGACGGAAGGTCAATTGTAGACCAGGCTATCCAGACGAAATTGCCGCTGGATATTTGCGTTCACCCCCAATCTTCGGGTATCCGTGCCTCGAAGAATCATCTCAACCCCGATTGGGAAGAGCAGCGACTATCAATCATCACCACTCTCGCAACTTTCACAACACCGACTGAGCAGACGACTTCTCGAATTGGGCGGCAGTCGCATCTCTGTCTTGAAACAATCATTCGAATGCAAATTATGAGCGCACTTCACCTGTAGTGTCAGACCGTTTCATATGCTATCGTTGCGTCGGATATCGTTCCGGGAATCATCCGCTGCTGTTCCGCGAGTCTGACCTCCATGGATTCTTGCTAATCGGGAACCTCGTCCTCCTGCTATCAAGTTCAAGGGAGCAAGTCGCCTAGATGTTCCTGCTGGAAATTGACTTGCTTGTTAGCGCGGATAGAGTGGAGAAAACTCCTCAGGCAACGAAAATCCGCTAATGTTCCGATACTGCTGATAGGGGGCTACCGACTTTGGATCTTTCCTACAGTCTAGACTCAGTTCCCGAGGAGAATCTGCTATCAGATCATGGCAAAGATATCTTTGGGAATGAAACGAAAAGCGACCGAGTCGTCAAATCTCGAGCGGAACTCTGAAGCACAGAGCTGGATTGACAGATTCGCTCCTCAATCCAAAGAGAAACTCGCGGTCCACAAAAAGAAGATCGAGGAAGTGGAATCATGGTTTGCCAGGAATTTGATTTCGAAAAAATTCGGTGAGCCTGGTTATCAAAGGATATGCCGTTCTGTCTCTCGTCGATAGAAAAACAGGCGAATGCTTGTGCTTCTTCGAAATCTTCTACGCTCAGGATCTCGTGATCAATGTCTTCCAGAGAAAGGCAAAGCCCCGATATTGCTCCTGGTAGGACCGACCGGTAGCGGGAAAACTACTTCACTGAGAGTAGTCGCACAAGATCTCGATATCCACATCAAAGAATGGCTTCATCCGGTTCGTCATTCAGCAAAATATATTTCTCTCAAGAAATCCTGCAATAAACCTTCGGGGTTCAGAGTTGGGGAGCAAACCTGGATCCTGGTTGCAACCTCGAGATGCAATCCTGATGAGATTGATTTCTCATATTTCCAGATAACTCAAGAGAGCAATACCGCTCAAGGGAGTGCATGGAGGGAAGGGGGTCAACAAGATTATCCTAAAGAGAGCGTCGTCGAGCATTTCATGGATTTCATTTTCCAAGGGAGTCGGTAAGCCCCTTGCTTGCCGAAAAATTCACGGAGCGTACATTAGGGAAATGTTCCGCAGTCTGTTGATCTATCAAATATGCTCGATAAGGTTTCAGATATCGCGAGGGAGCATGAAATCGAGTCGAACTTCCGCCTGAGGACTTCTTTCTTTCACAGATACAATTCTCTATTCGATAATGATTCACAGAGAATAATTTTGCTCGAAGAGATACCATCAATTTTTCTGAGGAAACCAGAAGAGTTCCATGAGGCTCTTCGTCGATACCAAGCTTTCGGTACGGATATCTGAAGTATCTACATTCTGTATGTTCCCGTGTTTCTCCCTCACTCAGATGAGTCAGATTGCGATGTGTTTCCTGCTTTCCCAGGAAGATGTCCCCTCGTCATCATCCTATGCGAAACTTCATCATCTCGAGAGTTCAAGCTCTTCCCGCCGGAAATTAAAAGAGAGCTGCAGATTCACACCATATCATTCAACCCGATCGCAAATACCTTGCTCCACAAAGCTATCAGAGATATCATCATCGAAGCTTCGAAGGTACGATTGTCTCGACCGATATCGATCGGGTAGGAAGATGCGAGCAGTCTCTAGGATTCGCGCTCTACCCTCGACAGGTGTGCGGGAAGAACTTCACTCATCCCATGGACTCAGTTGTCGAGTCCGTTGTCCAGAGTTGTCAGGGTGATTTGCGCCTAGCGGTCAATCTCCTTGAAATGAATTGTATGGGTACCGCGAAGAAATTGGCGAATTTCGAGAAGAAAAAACCGAAAGCAACGAAGAAATCGGGTGAGGGAAATTTTGAGATGAATTTTGTTTGCATGTCTCACGATATCCTTTGAATGTGGACCTCCGCTATTTTTGATATTCGTGGTGTATCGACTCCTTCACCACCATTCGACCCGTCAGAACTCATCGGAATCCCGCTCCCACAGATTCGAAGGCGGCAACGACGGGGATAGGCGCGAAGGACAGCTCCTTGTATCTCTTCCATTCCTTAGGGAAGATTCTGTACAGCAAACGAGAAGACAAAATTATTCACGAACTGCCGCAGCATCTGAAGCTTTACGAGAGACCTCCAACCAAAGAAGTTCCTGAAGAGGTTTTCGAACGGACCTGTGTTTCGCAGGATCTCTTCACGAGAATGTTGGAGAATAACGCTGTGAACTTCTATGGATCAGTTAAGTCTGCTTCGAACTGTGCGGAGTTCTTCTCCTTGGGAGACCACGTCAACGCGACGTGGGATCCATCCGGTGTACTCGATTCTTTGGCGATCTCTGTGACGATGAGGGGCTTGATGTTTCATCTCGAGAAAGCCAAGGGCAAAACTCACTTCGGAACGTTCAAGAAGCCAACGTACGACCGCAGGAAAACTGACGATCTCGCCCTTCAAGTCCGACATGAGTTTCTGATGCACGGTACATCGACCGAGATGCTCGTCTCGGATATATTGCCATACACGTTCATAATTCGACCACCTGACCTAAGTCAGGGACAATGGGATGTTCTGAACCAGTGCGTTCTGGTGAGGAAGAGTCAGATGAACACGCGACAGATCGAAATCTCTGAGAAAGATGTTTTTGATGAAGATGACGAGGTCAGAGTCGGCGAGACCGACTTCGAAGCTGGAGAGAAAGTCTTGGAAACAGTCAGCGGCGCAGCTGAGGAGTTTGAGATTGAGGAGATCGATTTTAACTGACGGCGAATGAGAGTGAGTGCTTGTGAGACCCCGTGTCTGAGGCTGAATCGGACCCTCGCTCGCCTCGAATAATGCTCGTTGAGTCTTCGGTTGTTTTCTGGAGTAAGTTCTCTCAGAGGTCGTCTGAATAAAGAGGAGGGCTTCTGCTGAAGCTTGCTCTCTCGGGGACGGAGGGGGAGGGGGGGTACCTTTCTCAATTGAGTTGTCTTCCAGTCCTTTCCTCACTGCAAATGCCGTAGATTCGGAACAACTAACGACTCGCGAACCCTGGGCCTCTGGATATCGACCGTACGACTGGCTCGAGTCGGAAACGCGTACGACGGCACTAAATTTCAGACTCGAAATTCCCCTAGGGCGAGAAGAGATGCATCCCTGGTATTTCACTGTTGAGAGCAGCTTATCGACCGATGAAAATTCTTCCAGAGCCTTCCGAGAGGCTACGGACCGCTTGATAATCCCAAGCTATATCATCACCCTAGGAAAGGCCGGTGAGCGTTGGATAAAGTCAGCTGGGTAGAATGTACTGTTTGAACGGTTGGCCTCACTGCATATGAGTCGACGTGCTTCCAAGTCCGCTCAGAACTCAATGTCGGGCCTAATGGGTGGGATTTCGGCAAGCCCAGATGTTCGATGTCTCGCGAACACTCCGCGTCTCTCTCGGCTAATCCTCCCTGCTTGACTCTTTCATGAGCAATGATGATGCGCTCCTGAGGTATGGCCTAAGATTGTGGGAGTACCTAGAAAGCGGGATCTGCATGTTTTGTCGGCAGATGCTGTCGAAATTTCTTTTTATTCACCCGTGCGGAAACTCACTCGGATATACGGACGACGAGCCTGCGGCGCGTCGTCCCGCCTCCGCCGCGACTTATCTACACGGAATGGTGCATCACACCCGCCCAGCCTCTGACGATCTCGTCATTGCTTGTTTTTTTTGCCTTTTTCTGCGTCTGATCAACGGCGCAAGAGCGAGCGTGCTGGCTCTGGCCGCAAGATCTAGCTCATCGCAGTTTACTTTCACTCGGACGCACAAATTTTCGCCTAGAGACCCGAAGTCTCGATTGACCGAGCCGGAGAACGAAGTTGCGGACAGGGCGGGGGAGGATCAGAGACGGCCGAGTCAGGGAAATACGAAACACAGTGCCCCAATTCCGCTGCCCCCCGATTTCTTCTCAACTTGTTGCCCACAGTGATCCAACTCCAAGTTTAGGACTTGATTCAAGAGACGAAACTCAGAACTTGGCCCCGCATTTCTAGCGCCAACATCGATATACGGAGACATCGTGCTCGTGCATGATAGGTCGAACGAGATATTCGGCAGGCCGTGATAGGATATCGCAGGCTCGATCTGATTTCAATCGTCGTGGAAGCATGCTAAGTCGTTCACGATTCACCGAATTCAGTCCAATCTGAGTCTCCCGTACGCCGAAGCGTTCTGGATCGAAGCTATTCCCTCCGAGATGTGCTCGGTGGGATCTTCGCTCTAAACCGAATATTTCTTGCCGGTCAATCGAGACTCGTGCCAAAGTTACGATTTGTCCCACTGAACGATCGCCCCCCTTGGCTCTCGAAAACCTTGATTTCGCCTCTCAAGAGATCTAGCCATCCATTTGCACTGATGACGGAATTTACCAGGAGCGTACAAAATGATCGTTGGAGGAATCTGAATCGGTATGCTTCTTCGGAGGAACAATTTTTACATGATGACGCTGCCCGAATCCTTCCATCCATACACTGCACATAGCGTTCCCCGCAAGCCCGAGATCCCCTAATCCTTTGCAATGGAGATCGTATTCGAAGCGAGGCGGAAGCGACGTGGTGCCGACCTGGAACTGACTGTGCGGTCTCGCTGAGCAGAGTCCCGCTGATCCGACGTACCGCATTGGGGTACGTAGCGCATCCTCTGGTACAGTTTGCTCGGTAGCTGCGCCCGGAGCGGCGCCGATCGACCTTCCAATATTGTAATAACTTCAATACATACGACGAATGCGCCCGAGGCAAGAATTTCTCTCCCGTATCTGCATACGTGCTTCTAGCAAACTCTTCGCGGATCCGCATACCCGGAGAAAACAGGACGCGGAAACGTGTACAGGTAGCTGAGTTTTTTCTTCTCCAAATTCGAGAGTGCCTGAATCGGTGTACTTAGTCTCAACTACGAAGACCGGGGTCATATTTAGGGAGGTACATAGTTCCCTTGTGACGGCCGCCCCACGCCAGCTTCTGTGATGTCCTTGAGATCGAATGTCCGATATCCTCGATCGGCTCCTCACTTCAGGCTGGTATAGCTGAATAGTAGCGTTCACGCGATCCGCGACCACTCGTCCTCGAGAAATACGATCGATATCCTATTTCGCTCGTTATGAATGTCCTCATCGGTGCTGAATAGCCGAAGGCAGCGGTAGCGTGGACCGTCCGGTCCTCTTGTTCCCATCGTTGTCCTCAATCCATCTTGCTCTCGTGAATCCCGGGGACGGGACTTGAAATTCGGCACGGTTTGACGTGGTTTTGAGCCTCTAAAACGGCAATCGCTACCCACGAAAAGCACTGGAAACTGTTCTGAACGCACTGTATGTGCAAAGTACCTTTCAATAAATCTGAAATTCGTGGCGAAACGACACGCTGAGGTACAACGACCACCTGATTACGCAGCGGGGCTATTCGATTATGGAACGCACTATCCGGGAGCCGTCGTTCCGGCGGCTTTCGTCAATCATTATGAAAGATCAAAATTTTCGCGGCGACCGCGGAATTCGTGGGAACTCCGATTTCCGGCGGTTTTCTGCGATTGCCTCGAACCAAGTCATTCCTCCACTCCATAATAAATCGAACTTCCTTCAAACAATTCAGCGGAATGTTCCCCCAGATCGTAGAATAAGGCTCTGAGAATCAACGGCGTCCAGTACCTCAACAAAGCTCGCTGAAGCTCGTCCAAAGCTTCTGCGACTATGGCCAGAAATCTCTATCCCCCATGAATCCGACAGCTGGAATGAATTCTGTACCTCGTTGGAGATTCCTGTCGACAGGAATATTACTGAGAGACGTGTTTGTTTAGACTTGTTCGATTCGAAATTCGCTCAACACTAGACAGTAGGAATGAGTGCTCGTTGCGTTCGCTCATGGGGGGGCGGCTCCTCGTGGTAATAACAATAGTTCCAAAGATGAAACAATCGCCAGGCCGACCCGGCCCCAGATATCCAATACCATCCGCTCAGGAGAAGCTCTCGTGCTCGCTCGAAAGTGTCCTGAATGTATCACAGAATCGAGTCCCTCATGAAGGACATGACGAGAACACTTTCCGGTGACAGAATCGGAAGGGTCAATTCCGAAGCTCATCCAAACGTGAGGGAGAGAGGCGTCCATCCGAGAAGTGCGTTGGCTTCGCTTCCTGCGCCACCATCGAATCCATCATTTTTCCATTTATCGCATCACATCCACTATCGTCTGGTATCGGAGAAAGCTTCTTTGGCTCGGTCGGCATTCGGATTTGATGTCACTCCGTTTTTCTGGAAAGTAAGAGTCTTCCTGACCGTCTCACTCATAATACAGCGGGGAACTACGAGGAGTGTTGCTATCGGCGACTGGACCGAGATCCAGGCGCGGTGTTCCGTCCGGGCATGCGGAAAGACTATTGCGTAAGGCAAGCGGGATGGCGCCGAGGGGAAAAACTCGCATTCCGGACTTCCGCCTCCATTCTCGGAAACTCTCCAGGAAGCGGGCAGGTTGTCATTCTTATTCGAGATGTAAGCAGCGATGCCTTTTCCGCGAATAGCGTTAGGAGCAGTTGATGACTGATGATCACCCCTCGGGAATGGGATCATCGAAGCGGATGCTCACCGTCGAACGGGCAATGAATGGGCTTCGAGATTCACGCTCTCTGATGACGGGACTTGCGGAAATGTATTCGATGACTGAACTCTGTTCGGGGGCACCGCAGGACCCTCGTTCGATGGAGGTGCTCCTCGAGTAATTGCGGAGCCGAGCGAAGCTCGCGCTGACTAAGTTGCGAAATCTCGGGCTGGGAGATCTATACGCCCATTGATTGGTGCGAGAGATCTTCGGAGAGGCTACTATCGATTAAGCTCCGCGCCCACCAGCTGTTCCGTGATGTCCTATTCTTGTTGCGCAAGGTAAAGCAATTATGGTGATACTGGCTTAAGCGAGCAAGCGAGCTAGCTCGGCAGATAGCTGACTGGGACAGGCAGGAATCTCATCTGAGCTAACTAAGCGCCGTGTTGGCGAGTAATACGTCGTCTCGGTCGTGGACTCAATCTGTACACATTCCTGGAACTTCCAGGGAGACGAACGGATAGGAGTTTCGCCGCAATCAGGTATTTCCGGTGTTTGAGTCGGTGTCGTCACGAGCCACGGACTTCTTATTCTCACAAGAAACGGCGACACGACTCTCATTCCAAACCGTATCGAAGTGAGCCGACGGCAAAATCTCCAACTCTACGGGTCGGAGAAATGCATTTCCCAAGAGTGATGTGAAAAAGAACTTTATACACCCGACATTGTATACAATCATACAGCTCGATCCTCCGCTCACTAATCGACCTGAAGGTTCCGAAGCTTGTCCCGGAGATTTCTGTAATCGTCGCTCTTCTGCTTGGAGGTTGCCTTCGTCCCGAACATTTCACCCCTAACTTGCTCCAACAGATTCAAATTATCACGGTATTCCGGAGTCCTCTCGCTCCTGCGGTTTCTCGGAGCTACAGAATCTGCGCTCGAAAGAGACCATCTTCTGCGGTTCGCCGGGAACACGATTCGATCATCGTGGACGAGTTGCGCTCGCCGAGGCTCTACGGGATCCGACTCGCAACCGTCTAGGTCTAGATTCGCAGACATCTCTGTAGGGTGGGTGGGACACGATGGAGCCACCGGGACCGATGACTGGAAGAGCGTCGATCCAGGGTTTTTCTCCTCGTCGACGAGTAGGGTCTTTCTTCTCCGATGGCCGAGAACGACGTTCACCAAGATTTCACTCATCAGAACAGCACCCGCGACGAGCTGCGCGAGGTGTAAAATGATGAATACTTCTCTGACATCGTCGAGCGACAAAGCGCTTCGCTCCAGCACTTTCACCCTGTAATTTCGGTCGTAATGGAAGCGAATAGTTCTCTCCACGAAGCCGAGCTCGCGGAGGTCAAC